ACAACCCATTGTACTTCCGCTTGACTTGACTTCTCATCTTTGTTCAAAACTTCAAATCGTTCTCCTCGTTAAGAGTAAAGATGGTAGATTGTTCCCTCACAGAAGGGTGTTAATATATGCTCAAAAGAAAGATGGGTGTTAATCTCATTGATTTTAAATGGTTGTTTAAGGCTAAGAGGAAGTGAGGAACGCCATGGAGGATTGAGCGTTTCGGTTTAGTTATGAAGACAATTCACCTTCTTTCGTCCCTGGAGGTAACTCAGCGATGGAACCGTTGTAAACATCTTCTCGCCTTTTTAGAGCCATCTAAGGCCTTAAACAAGTACCTCGTGCATGTCATCTATGCCTTGGGGCTGCTCTTTGAGATCATGGATTTGTTGTCTCCACTACCTGACCTTCCATTTCAAGTTAAAAAAGTTTGAGTACCTTCAATCTCCTCGGAGCGCTCATTGGCCATGTTTCCAAGCGCAAGATAACCCAAGGGGTTATGTTTTTTTTTCACCAATGGGAGCTTTCCCTTCACCGCTCCCATGGGGTGGTCCACAGGGTTCATAAAGCACACCTTTGGTGTTATTCTGTTCGTCATAGCTACTCATGCATTATATCTTTCATCTTCTTCCCTCACCCTACACTCCACTCACTTGGATGTGGACTGGGAACCGGCAGCGTGGGACTATGGAACTGATATGGTTCCGGTCCTTATTGAGGATCTCCACATCTTAGATGGTCATCTTCTGGTGTTACTATATGACAACATTGGTGCTAATGTGTTATGCACCCATAGTTATCGCGTATGTTTGGGTATTCATTTAAATTATCCAAACTGTATATGGTTGAGGTTTTTGTAGTGAGTAATCATACATGTAGTACCATTCAAGGATAGCGCGCTATATAACCATGCATACATCACAAGTATATGACACAAAGTTTCAAATTGCATTACCAAGTATAATCAAGTCGTTCCATTCATAACTGGAGATATGCTCTTAAAGAGGATTTTATTCTGCTTAAGTTCAAGATCAGAGACAAACATGATGTTTGTTTGCAGGAGTGGTTCTCACTTCTTAAGTAAACTAAATGATGCCCCGCGTGTTGCTGCGGAAACCTTGGTAAAACATATGCATAAATAGACGCTTGAAAAATTTAAAGTTTTTTGTCCACATGAGTTGTTAATTATTCACTTCAAAAAGAAACTTGTGTGGGCATAGACTGGACCATCTGGACTCGGGCACAAGACTGTCATCTTCGAAAAGTTTCCCATCCGCACAAAAATAAGTGAAACAAAGTAACATGCATGGTTGCTGAGGTGTCATGGTTGCATGAATAGATTAGTGCACATATTATAACTTATGACCACATGCATGACTTGATGATGTGGCATAATTGCATGGAAAAAATAGATAGTAGGTTACAACTATTTAAGAATGGAGGATTTCTAATTATGGACATGATTCGAGAGCGGCATTGGGTGATCTTCTTTTCCTAAGAGTTTAGGGTTTGTGTAGCTTTCCTTCTTTTTGCTCCACTCATTGTAACAGTTGTTCTGCGGTCCAATGCTTAAAGAAAAGGTTTCAAATTGCGTACATATCACATCATATAAGTTCATATACAGAGTATGTAGCTAGCTCGGAAGAACAACAATATATATATATAACAACATAATCATACATTTCAAATGTATGCCAAAGTGGCTGAGCTTATTAACTACTCCCTCCGCACCGAAATACTTGTAGTTGGGGAACTTGTACTAGCTTCCCCCGCTACAAGTATTTCGGTACAGAGGTAATACATAATATTGGACCCCAATAGCCAGCGAACATTCGCTGGGAAAGATGAAATTTGCGAACAATTTTGATGGCAGTTTGTGTTGGTCAGAGCATGGAACCTCCGGTGCAGTTCTGTTTTTCACCAGAAAAATGTCGTGCTTGCAAACTAGAATTGCCATCTTTGTGGTCCTCATGACAACTAAAGTTGTCATCAAAACGTTCACAATTGTCATCCCTCCCAGCGAACATTTGCTGATTATGACTACTGTAAATATTATGGCGTAGGCGTAGCACATGACGACACATCAAAGAAGATCGAGGGAGCTCCAGAAGATCACCCAGTCAGCTGCTGCAGGTTCCTGACGATGAGAGGGAGCCCGTACCTGGGCAATAGGGTGACGAAATTGCTGGGCTTGTGCACGTAACTGGGGGACAGGGAGAAGGAGAAACTCCTGAGGATGGTGGCTATCACGATCTGCACCTCGACCATGGCGAAGTTCTGCCCAGCACAGACCCTCGGCCCATATGAGAAGGCCAGCAGCGCGCGTGAAAGCTTGGTGTCCCTCGAGACGCCACTCTGGAACCTCATTGGGTTAAACTCGTCAGCGTCGGGTCCCCAGACCTCTTTGTCCCGGTGCAACATCAGCAGCGGGATTGATATCATCGTTCCTTTCGGCACCTTCGTGTTGGCGAGGATGGTGTCCGAGATGGTCTTCCTCTGCAGGAAAGTTAGGGGGCCATAGAGCCTCAGCGTCTCCAGGAGTACCATGTCAAGCTGCAAGTCACCACGGCAGGCACTTATTAGATGTATGCACAGTGTACTGCATGCAATAAGATTTTTTGTGTCGATCTATACCAGCTTGAGTTTGCCAAGGGTGTCAACCGGGGGAAGCTGGTGAGCAGGATATTCCCGTGCGACCTCCTCCCTGACCATGTCCTGCCAGCGTGGGTAGCTGGCGAGCAGGAACATCGCCCAAGTTATGACGCTGGCGCTGGTTTCGTACCCCGCCGCGAATAGAGTCCTGCACTCGCCGATCATCTCCCGGGTGCTCAGAGTCTCGGCGCTGCTTCTACATGCCTGCAGCTGCAGCATCTGCCCGAGCAGGTCATCTTCGTAGACGCTGCTGGCAAGTCGTGCCTTTAGGATGTGCGAGATCTTGCTTGTCACGAGCTTATCGAGCTGCCACGTCCGACGGTTGCGACGTGTCGGCAGGTACCTAGAAATAACCAATATTAATTTTAATCGATTCATTCATTCTGGCCAGTCTTTCGAGTTTCTACCTGAATCCAGGTAACGGGAGATCTGCGAACGCATATGCGGCAATCTCCATCTGCTCCCTTCCGGCGACGAACACCTCCCGGGCCTCCTCGTGGTCCTTGCCCAACATCACTTGTGCAATGACACCCATGGCTATCTCGTCGGAGTCGTGCCTCATGTCTATCTCGGCTTGCTGCCGCCCTTGCAGTTGGGCACACCACCGTTCCATCGCCTGCTGTGTGCACTCCCACGCTATTGTTGACATGGACTGAAAACAAACATTCAAACATACGTAATGTTCTCTTCAGATTAACTAAAAATTGATATGGAAAATTTTAGTAAGTAGTAACCTTGATCGTCTCCTGGTTGAAAGCCGGGTGGACGAATTTGCGGCGTCGCTTCCAGTCATCTCCGTTTGCAAATATGACCCCGTTCCCTAGAATTGAGTCCAGGCTCGGATTCAAGTATTCTTTTTGGAACACGTCTGTCCTGTCGGTGAACATTTGCTTCACAAGCTCCATGTCAGTACAACAAAGGGCTGGTGTCGGCCCCAACCAGTACAGGAATGTTTTACCTGATTAATTGCACGCACATACATGGGATTATATTTTATATTACATGCCATAACGACCGATTAGGTAGGTGGTTACAGGCATTCAAATAGTTAATTACCATACTGGGAGGCCCATTTCCGGAAGAAGGGTTGCACGGTGGCGATGCAGTCATGAGAGCTGGTGTCCAGAGCCTTGGCTCTCCCGGCAACCAGCATCGTTTGGCACTCCGGCAGAGACCCAACCAGAAACCTGTAAGGTGGACCTCGGATGCCCTGCCGCCCGAACCACCTGGCCACAACATACGGCCTCCAAAGCAGATACCATAGCACTCTCGTGGTCACCAGCAGTATGAGGACGGCAGCCAGGGCTTGCCCCATGTTAGGCTCCATGACTCTCCTTTTGGTACTATATATGTGCTTAATTAACTTCTGATTGTTCTCCTGTTGCTGATGTATCTAGGTATTTATATAGCACTGGTCCTAGCCAGATAGTACGCCCCACTTGCCTAGCTTCTTTTTATAGTTAGAGTTTTGTTTTCCGAAAAGAGGGGAATACCCTTGGCTATGCACACAGCCATAAACTCTTAAAAAGTTAGATAGATAGAGACCCAGGCCAGGTATAAGCTTGCATTGCATTATAAATACACGGAAACCCACAAGGCAAGTTTGTGTGGCAGGAAAGAGAATCAATTCTCTCTCAGTGTTGCAAGTTACAGCCAGAAATCGATTCCATGGCCAATAACAGCAGTGCTGATAAGCAGCGAGCGCAGGAGCTAGTTTGTGTCACGGGGGCAGGGGGCTTCATTGGGTCATGGGTGGTGAAGGAGCTCCTCCACCGTGGCTATCGTGTCAGGGGAACCGCTAGAGACCCAGGTACGTCTAAGCACATGCATCTTGCATATATACCTCCTAGTTACCTTTTCTAATCCATCACTTGCTTCAATGGCATCGTGCACCAATCATGTGAAGCGGACCGCAAGAACGTTCATTTGCATACCTTGGAGGGAGCCGATGAGAGATTATCCTTGTGCCGCGCCGACGTCCTGGACTACGACAGCCTCCGTGCCGCCTTCGACGGCTGCCATGGCGTCTTCCATGTCGCCTCTCCAGTGTCCAACGATGTTGTCAGTTCACTTGCTACACTTTTGCAGCATATATACTTAATTACCATCTGCGGTGTATACTTAATTACCATCTGCGGTGCAAGGAAGAAATGCTTGCTTCCTAATTAATGCTAGCTGCCTGTTCTCGGCCGCGGGGCTCTATGTAGGAACTCATACCGGTCGCCGTGGAGGGGACCAGAAACGTGGTGAACGCGGCGGCGGACATGGGCGTCCGCCGCCTTGTTTTCACGTCTTCGTACGGCGCAGTGCACATGAACCCCAACAGAAGCCCCGACACCATCCTGGATGAGACATGCTGGAGCGACTATGAGTTCTGCAAACAGACAGGCGTATGATATTTCCGAAGCGACTTAACATTCATTGCAATAATATTTAAGCACGAAAAACTAAATTAAAGTGAAAAAAACAGCCATGTAAAAGAACAATGTTTGGAACTCAATCACAAATCGTAATAATGATGAGCAATCAGCTGGGATAGGTTCTTACTGGCCACCCCCGATTTTTTTGATTTTGAGAAACACCAAAATGGATGGATTTTGGCGAAAGTCAAGCATTTTTAACCGAGTCCCAAATGGAAAACTTGACGTTTTCGAAATTGTCTGAAAAGAACATACTAGTATAGTATCTAAATGCAAGTGAGACCAAAAGGCCCTTATAGTGTCTTAGAAACTTGCTATGCATATCTTTCCGCAGGTGCAGTGTTTGTTCCCAATTCAATAGTTTATTTTTGCACAATGTTACCAATTAATTTGTGGCACCCGGAGGTCAAGACTTTTTTTAACAAAAAACTAAACTAAAATACAGGTGGTCGGGTCAAACCCAAGACCTCCCAAACCGATAGGAAAAGGTCAATTCATCAAGGATATAAGGAGCTCAAAGGCAATGACCTGAAGCAGATTTCCAAACATAATACGCATGATGAAACAAACAGTGTGTGTCGTCTTAGGAATCTAGTAATTTCATTGTGCAGAACTACTATTGTTGTGCCAAGATGATGGCAGAGATGGCAGCAACGGAGGAGGCAAGCAGGAGGCAGCTGCAGCTGGCGGTTGTGGTGCCGCCAATGACCATCGGTCCCATGCTGCAGCGGTCTTTAAATGCCAGCAACTACCATGTCGCAAGGTACCTAATGGGTACTAAGAAGGCCTACCCCAACGCTGTCGCCATCTACACAGATGTCCGCGACGTTGTACATGCCCATCTCCTCGTCTATGAGCACCACCACGCCCACAGCCGCTACCTCTGCTTCGGCATGGCGCTACACCGCAGTTGCCTCCTCCAGTTGATCCGGGGTCTTTTTCCACACTATCCTATCACTTCCAAGTATGCTAGTTTACTCTGAATGAAATATCAACCTTCTGCATATGCGTGTCCATATCTATATCTATACCTGTACCGACTACCGATTTCTACCTCTACAGGTGCGAAGAGGACGACAAGCTCATGGCAAGCCCGTACAAATTCTCCAACCAAAGACTCGAGGACTTGGGCTTAGAATTCACTGACATGAGGAGAACTCTATATGAAACTGTAATATGCCTGCAACAGAAGGGTCATGTGCGTATCATCGTGCCATATCAGCGTTCGAGCTTATAGATCAGAATGTAGTGCGACCAAGTTCCACATACCCGGAAGAAAAAAAATAAGGTCCTTCAAAAAAGTAATAGTGTGGACTTGTAAGGTAGAAAAAGAATCAGATATCAGATATCGGATATGCTAATTTTTTGCATTAGAATGGATATATCATGATGAAATTATGAAAAGTTTGCCTGCAGCGCAAGATGTTATGAAAATTGAAGACATGATACTAAAAGTACGCATGAATTCAAGCAAGGGGTTACAAAAGGTTGAAAACCAATTAGCAACAATAAGTCAAACAGAAAATAACAAGTCACCTTGTAAATGTTTCTCACCATATCCACCAACCTTCCCAACAAGAACCTCCTCAATGAAGGGCCTGAACATCAATAACCTACAGGAAACCTCTCCAAGATGGGGAAAACAAAGAGAATCTAAGCATGATTTGTAAAATGTATAAAACCTCAGATTACGAGGTCATAAACTCTGTACTAACAGTAACGTCAGAAGAAAGCGCATCCACGGTACAAGTTTTACATACTATTTACAGTGAGTCATTCAACACAAGTAGCACAGCAGCTAGGAAAAGGCAAGACTACGCACTTGAGGCAGAGAAATAATCAGCATTAACCTGCAGCAAGGCAAACTGGATCTTGACACCAAATAGTCGGTTAAATAAGTGAAAATTGAGGGCAATTACTGATATTCAAAACTGTAGTTGTTTAACACTGAGATTAGACAGTTAAGTGTCTAAGTGACAAACTTACTGTATCAATCCCAAAAGTTTTAGTTCTATGTACCCACATCAATCAAATACTAGGCACTACTAAGAAAGGCTCCGGGGTTACATGCAACAATGAGAAACTGCACAGGAAAGAACTTAAACATACTGGAACTTCAGGTATCCAACTCAATTGCACAAACTAAAGGGCATGGCAAAGCGATGCAGTCACCCTTTTAGGCGTTGATATTGTACAGAGCTTACAGAGCATATACTAAACAACATATAGAATTAGTTAGTAGTACTCCCTCCAGGATGGCAACAATTAAAGCACAAATTACTTTATACGTCAAGCAGCCCTCTCCTGGAAAGATGAATCCGCCTTCGACAGCAAGGATGTCATAGACGGACACGCAGAGACCGAGATTAGCAACCACCTGCAGTGCAAGTCCAAACACAGACTGAGAAATACAATTAAGAACCATCGAATGGAACAGAATTCCGGTACTGTGAGCCAAATCTTGCCATGCATTGATGATAACATGACAAAGTCCACACTACCTTATCCAGGAAGAGCCTCTCGAGTTCAGCCTTGATGGCGTCAGCGAGAGGGCGAGTCAGCAAGTGTGGAGGCATCGGCAGGTTGTGCTTGATCTGGCTCAGAAGTCAGAACAAACATCATTCACGTCCAGTACTGGAGCCAGGAAAATATTAAACCCTGGTCAAACTGCAAGCAGAAATGTCTAACCATATGATGTAGGAGTACATAACAAGCCATCAATGCATAATTTAAAAATTGAGAGCCACAAGCCCTGGATATTTGAAACAGATACAATCTCCAAAGCTGACAACCACATATCCACAATACTTTCCAAGTAGAACAGGTAAATAACCAAGTCAATGTTCATACAGATAAACCGAACTGAGTGTATAGATGAGAACATCTTAAGTTAGATTTAACAAAATGAAATCACTAAAATTATTTGTTTATTTTTGTGATACCTGGTCAGAAAGAAACAATTTGGGGCAGGGCAGTTAGTACTTCGTACTTAAGTAATACTTTGAATCATAAATCCTACACACACACACACACACACACACACACACACACCGGGCCAATTTTTTTGTCAACATTAAAAAACTTTGGCACTTGTGACACTCCAAAAATACCCCATAACATTCCAAAAAATACCACATGCGAAAAACATATTCCCTCCGTCCGGAAATACTTGTCATCAAAATGGATAAAAAGAGGTGTATCTAGAACTAATAAAGCTCAGTTGCTCAATAAATCTAGAATTTAACATCAATGCTTAACAATCTAATAAAAGAAATAAAACATGAAAAAGCTACAAATCATCTATAGTGACAATCAGACAATGCACACACCAATTTATATTCCTTCAATAATAAATCAATTCCAGTTCCACCAACACATTACACATACTCACATATACACTCCACCCCATTATAATTTCAGTTCAACATTTAAATCATCTATGCATTGTGACAATCAAACGATGCATACACCAATTAAACAAAGACATAAGTAATTACCAGCGTAAGGAAGGGTGGCCGCGGCGGCAGTAGGCAGCAGCAGGCTACACACAGCCGGCGGCGGCAGAAGCACGGGGGGAGGAGTCCGTCGATGCCTCGTCGGTTGCTCTGCTCGTCACCGCCGCTGGGGAAGGCCGCGCTGGCGGGGGCCAGCAGGGCGCACGGCGCAACACAGAAGAAGTGCAGCACGGCCAGGCTCAACGGAGCACGGCCACGGGGACGTGAGGACCGGGAAGGCCGGGAACGTGGGGACGGCCCCGGCAGCCTGCGGCGGACTGCAGACCACTCGGCGGCGGCGGGCGTGCGTGCGTCCAGCCTGCGTGTGTTAGGTTTTTTCTTATTTTGAGGGAAGCGTTAGGTCTCGTGTCGTTTGGGCTCGGATACGTTGCGCGCGTTAGGCTAGACCCTGG